CCCCCCCACATGCACGTGCACTCTCTCTCCCTCTCCCTCTCTCTTTCTAAAAAGTAGATTAAATGAAAAAACAATTTTTAAAGAGATAGTGCCTGCCTGGCTGACTCAGTCAGTAGAGCATGTGACTCTTGATCTCAGGGTCATAAATTTGAGCCCCACATTGGGCACAGAGCTCACTTAAAAAAACCAAAAAACAACCTTTTCTTAGCAATTGTACATTCTAAATGTGAAGAGAAGGAATGTATGAGCCTGGTATAGATAAATAGCAAGTTCTCCCCACCTCTTCTTGGAAAAGCTGCTGAGACCTGTGGAAAAGGAGAACTCGCTACATTTCCTGAGGTTGAAAAGAAGATTTTAACAAAACGTTAAGCCTTATGCTACTCTGTAAGTGGGATAGCACAGAACATTTTGGGAAAATGAACAAAGTCTCCATGTTGCTTTGTCTTTTATCCAGTATGAGAGTATGCCCCGACTGGTCTGGTCTCTTATGACCTTCTCTTCCTTTTCTGCTGCAGGTGGTGCTGGGCATCTTTTGAGGGTATGTTTTAGCTACAAAGTATTTCAGTTTACCATAAGGAGATGGGATTATCTTTTCTAGACTTTATTTTTTTTCTGATTACTGACTAAATGTGTTTGGGAAATGCTTAAAATCTGCATTTCATATCCTGTGTAATACATCTTTAAATAATAGCCTGCTCTGTTTTTTTTTCCAGGGGTGAGCCCCTCCAGACTCCGAATAGGAGATCAAGAGTTTGATTCATTGCCTGCTTTACTGGAATTCTACAAAATACATTATTTGGACACTACAACGTTGATAGAACCAGTTTCCAAATCCAGGCAGGGTAGTGGAGTGATTCTCAGGCAGGAGGAGGCTGAGTATGTGCGAGCCCTCTTTGACTTTAATGGGAATGATGAAGAAGATCTTCCCTTTAAGAAAGGAGACATCCTGAGAATCCGGGATAAGCCTGAAGAGCAGTGGTGGAATGCAGAGGACAGCGAAGGCAAGAGGGGGATGATTCCAGTCCCTTACGTCGAGAAGTATAGACCTGCCTCCGCCTCAGTATCGGCTCTGATTGGAGGTAACCAGGAGGGTTCCCACCCACAGCCACTGGGTGGGCCGGAGCCTGGGCCCTATGCCCAACCCAGCGTCAACACTCCGCTCCCTAACCTCCAGAATGGGCCCATTTATGCCAGGGTAATCCAGAAGCGAGTCCCTAATGCCTACGACAAGACAGCCTTGGCTTTGGAGGTACATAATGTGCAAAATGTAGAAAGAAGAGATCTGCTACAGGGTCTCCCTTTCAGACCTCTTAGAGCTTTATAGGAATGCTGAATACAAGCACCAGCATTGTGATGTTGTAGATGTCAAATCATTAAGTACTGATTTTGGCATTTAATGTTGGGTTTTCTCTTTTTTTGTAGAAAACCTATTTTGAAATGAGTAAGCTTAAAATTGTATAACTGAATGTTCTTATTGATCTACTAAACATACTTTGACCTCTTTAACTCCGCCTAAATTCACAGGAATTAACCTAAAATATTTTTTTCTCATCTGCATTCTAATCTGATTCTTTCTGTTTATCGGTGTTGAAAATAATAAGATGGGCTCTATTAAAGTACTTAAATGGAGTTTTCCCACAAAACCATAATGTTTTTACTTTAGAGGGCATGGGGTTCCTTAGCATTGACTGTGTTCATAAAGTAAGAATTCAGGAGGAACAGTGTAGCATAGTACAGGGGAGAAGAGATATGTACCTAAAAGCATACACTCCAAGGAGCAGCAGGTTTACTTGGCTTTTGTTGTTCGGTACCTTTGACAGGCGGGAAGCCAGTTCCTCCTGAGGAATAAATTCTTGCCTTTTACTGGTGAATAGTTAATCTCGGTAGCCCATCTCCTCTGGCCAACCGTTGCATTGTGTTTATTCTTTTATTCCTCTCTTTAGCACTCATAGCTTTGTCTCCCTGCCTTTCTGAGTTATGCAGAGCGAGGGGTTTAGTGTAAAAGCTTGTACAAAAGTGGTATGCTCTCCTGTCTTTCAGAGCTTACGATAGAATGTGAATTTAAGCAAGGAGCTACCTTTCATAAGCACAGACTGAAGTTATGTGAGTACTGACTAGCAGAGAAGGGGCCAAAGTGTGTTCTTATAAACTGAAATCTCTAAATGCTGTTTTCTTTGGGTTATGTTCATACACTGAGGAGTAAGAGCTGCTTAGAAGTGTTACCGATAGAATAAGCTAGGTTTTATTTGAATCAGTCTCTGATCATACTGGATTTGAAATTTTTCTTTTACATTCTGAATAGTGAATGCAAGAGGGTTAGCTGAGTCATACAGATTTTACTGAAAAATGTATTTTTAAAGTGCTTGTTTTTTGAGATTGTGCTGTGAGTTAAAAGTATTGTGTTTCTGCTTTGGCGAGAAACGAATGTGTGTTATCTAGGGCACACCACTTTTTCCCACTTTGAGTCTGGACATACAGCATGATGCTGGGCACATACATGACAGATGTAACTCTTGACGTTTACTGCAGACCTTGTTAGCACTGGGCTGGAGTATGAAAATAGCATTCATGAAACAAGCCAGCCAAGACCCTGGAAAGAATAATTATCACAGTACTTTTGTTTCCATTTGCATTTCCTTTTTTTTTTTTTTTTTTTCTCTTTAAAGTAACCTTAGTACCCAACACGGGGCTCAAACTCACAACCCCAAGACCAAGAGTCACATGCTCTACTGACTAAGCCAGCCAGGCGCTCTTGCATTTCCATTCATTCATTCATTTGAGAGAGAGAGAGAGAGAGAGAGAGAGAGACTTTTAAGCAGGCTCCATGCTTGGTACGGAGCCTGATGCAGAGCTTGATCCCACTACCCTGGGGTCATGACCTGAGCCAAAATCAATAGTCAGACCCTCTACCTACTGAGCCACCCAGGTGCCCCTGCATTTCCTTTCTTGAAAGAGATTTCTTTTTAATGAAGTGTTGTTGTTTTTTTTAATTTTGTGAGAATGACAGAGTGGGGGAGGGGCAGAGAACGAGAGAAGGGAGTGAGAAAATCCCAAGCAGGCAATGTGCTGTCAGCTCAGAGCCCAATGTGGGGCTTGAGCCCTGAGCCATGAGATCATGACCTGAGCTGAAATCAAGAATTGGACGCTTAGCCAACTGAGCCACCCAGGCTCCCCAAGAGAATTGTTTTTAATGATGCCTGCCTTGACTAAGAGATTTTAGTGCTCAAAGTGGTTGAGTTGCTCTCCCTACTATGAAACATAAATCTTGTGAATAACTAAGTAGAAAATAATTTATAAAAAAAAAAAAAAAAAAAAAAAAAAAAAAAAGAAGGAAAGAAAATAATGTCTGATTTCAGTAAGTTTTGTTTTTTGGTCAGATACTGGTTTTAAGCCACATATATTGATTGCCGAAGATGGCCTCTTTCAAGTTCAATACCCCACAGTAATAGCTTCAAAATACCTCATGTGCTTAAAAACACAGTGTCAGTTTAGCATCATACAATTTTAGAGCTGGAAAGGACCTTAGATATCTTTGTTATATAAAAAGAACTGATGTTTAGACAGATTGGATTGTTCAGACTAATTGGAGGTAGAGCTATAATGAACCCAGATCTCATGTGGTACCTTTTCTACCATGCCCAATCTAATCTCTGATTCTTTTTGTTTTTTAACAGTGCCACTGCCCTTCTCAGTGTAGGTTTTGTGTGATTTCACTGACAGCATATCCTCACTTGTACTGTATGCAAGGATAGTTGTGCTCTCAGTACAGTACAGCTGTATCGTAGACAGTTGTCTACAGTTCTCCTTTCCCATGTCTAGTTTTTTATAAGCTGATGCCTTGTCCCTATTGAGGTGAGGCTGGGAGATAAGAGTAGGAGGCTGTGGTGTTCTGACCTTAGCATTCTGGTTTAATAAAAACAAAATAAAGTAAAACATTCATTGCTATATATGACCCACTAGAAATCAAGATCTGTAGACCAGCGAGGTACATTTTAGTGCAGTTTTACATTTAACTTGAAATTGATAAATTAGAATCCTTGCATTTTAGAATTGGTAGGGCCCTAGAGATACTGTATTAGACCAGCAGTCTTCATAAGTTTTTTTTTAAGTTTATTTATGTTTAAGAGAGAGCGAGCAGGGGGAGGGGCAGAGAGAATAGGAGACACAGAATCTGAAGCAGGCTCCAGGCTCTGAGCTGTCAGCACAGAGCCTGACGTGGGCCTCAAACTCACAGACTGCAAGATCATGACCTGAGCCAAAGTCAGATGCTCAATTAACTGAGTCACCCAGGCGCCCCTTCATAAATTTTTTTTAATGTTTATTTATTTTTGAGAGAGACAGACAGAACGTGAGTGGGGGAGGTACAGAGAGAGAGGGAGACACAATCTGAAGCAGACTCTAGGCTCTGAGCTGTCAGCACAGAGCTGGACGTGGGCCTTGAACTCATGCACTGCGAGATCATGACCTGAGCCAAAGTTGGACACTTAACTGACTGAGCCACCCAGGCGCCCCTAGACCAGCAGTCTTCAGACTGCTTCTCAGTGTCATAAGAGTCCCAAGAGGTATGTAGTGAGAGGGGGAATCGAAGGATGCAGGGCTCTGGCTTCAACCAAAGCAACTGTTTTTAACTGTGTTACATATTTGAATCTCTCTAAGATTTTCTTTGAAGAAAGGATTTCTGTACTTAAAAACATAAATTTAAAAAACAGAGTTCACAAACCACCTGCCCTCACCTTAAAGATGGAATTTTTCTGCATTAGTACATTTATTCTGACCACAGTCCTCAACTGGAAAATTATTAGATATTTTCTCTTTTGCTATGCACCAGATTTCTCTAGTAAGGTTGAAGGCTTTGGAAAGTAGGGATTGATTCCAGCTAACCACCAAAGTAAGGGTATTCCTCTGCCCACTATAGTTCTGTGGGTCAGTTGGTCATATCTGGGGGGAATATAACTAAATCAAATACCTTCTGTTCCATTCTGGAGCTCCTGAGATTTTAAACATACAAATATGCAGAGTGTTTTAAAGGAGAGATACTGGAAATAACATTAGGGTAGTGCAGTGGCACCTTTAATTTTTGTTCTTAGATTTTTGTGTAATGGTTCCTTGGGAGCTGGAATAGGATGAATCTTATTTTGTGAATTACAGATGTTAAAGTTAATTTGATGCCTCTATAGACTGTCGAAAATAATCACATTATCTTTAAATGTACTAATCACGTATCTTTCATTCTCTGATTCAACCTGGCATTTTGCCTTTGATAGATGATAAGACTTGAGAGTAATCAAGGAGCTTCTTAGGTATTCTTAGACTTGGACCTGTTCCTCAGGGCACAGATAGGAAAGGAGTAAATGTGCTTTGGGTCCCAGATTATATGCATTAGTGGCTACACCAACTCTACCTCCCCATGTGGAACTCTATGAAACCTAAGTTTTTTATTTTTTTTAATTATTTTTTTATTTTTTTATTTTAAAAAAAAATTTTTTTTGGGGCGCCTGGGTGGCGCAGTCG